GCGTCGGAGGGGGGGGGCGGAGAACGGAAGTGGGAAAGCAGGGGAAGGGAGAACGGGTTAGTTAAGGTGATGGATTGGTGTGGGGAGGGGGCTGGGTGGGTAGGCGGAAGATATGGTGAGGGGAGAACGGGGCAGCTATTTCGATATGAGCGCAGGGTTGGGCGATGTGTTTGCAGGAGGAAGACTGCACGGAGGGGGTAGAAGAGATTCGGTTTGGTTGGCGGGGAGGAGCGGGGTGGTGGCGAGAGAGGGTGGAGAAAGGTGGCTGAGTGGGGTGGAGAGGGTGCGAGGCGGAGCGCGGTGGGTCGGCGTCGTCAGAGGGATGCAGGGGCCGAGGGGAGGAGGAATGAATCGTTCGTTTCAGTCGCGGGCAGGTGGGGCCAGCTGTGGGTGGTGGAGGGGTGGGGGCGGGGGAGATTGGGGGGGGGCGTGTGTGGAGGGGGAGAGGGCGCAAACGTTTGCCACCCGCGTGGGTGTGCGTAGTCCACGCGCAGACGGCACATCTCCTCTTCGTGGAAAACCGGTCTCTTGTGGACCCGTCTGCTCCTTTGTGGCTAAGTCAACAACGCACACACACAACGCCACAGAAGCAGAAACAGATGCGTTTTGTCACGCACGTCTGCTCTCCACCTCTCCTTCCCCTCCCGCGCCCTGGCCCTCCCCCCTCCCAGCTCCCCTCATCCACACAGCGTCTGCGACACCACGTCACAAGCAGCTCTTTCTCCATGTACTGTCAATATTATCGTGGTCGACACAATTGAGAGTACACGTGATACGAAGCCTTCGGCAAGGTGTTCGTCACGAGGTGCTGGCGATTAGGTTCTGAGAACGCATTCTAACTCAATTTCAAAAAATAAAATGCTGCTTATTTGTAATTTATTTCTACATAAATATTGGGTAATTTTTTGCGTGGTCGCATACATACGTAATTGCGCGGTGTATACGTATATACACATTAATATATGGAGTGCATATGTAGTGCAGAGAAAGTTATGTAAAGTTGCACACACTTGATTTTGAGATTTCAACGAAAATACATTCTTTTGGGCTCTTTTGATACCCAAAAAGGATTTTTTTTTCAAAACGTCCTACCATCTGCCTTTGAACAACGGTAGACCCTTAACTATTCGTAGAATTTTGAGAATATGAATATTTATCGGTCGATCTTGCTCGATTCTAAGCTCTTCCATTTAGAAAAACATATTTTTAAATTTTCGTGGTATTTTACATGAAGTTTATGAGACTTATTCAAAATTTTCTCAAAAATGGCTCCATGTTTTTCCTAAAATGTCTTGAAGGAATAGAGTAAAACACACTTATAAAGACAGCATAGGTTCTATTTTCACAGTCAGCTATGAATTTTTCAAACTTACAAAAGTTTGATTGTTTTTGGCATCCTCCTACAACTATAATATTGAAAATTGCAATTTTTAATTTAAATATATTTTTTTCTCTCCTTTCTCCATTTTCTCTTGAAACTTTTTGTAGGAATGGTGCTAAATGCGTTGTATAAAAGGACATTCATGTCATTTTGTTGTCATGCCTTAAAAAGTTTATCAAAAACTTAAAAAGAAATCGTGAAAAAGCTCCAAATTGCACCTTTTCAGAAAATCTCGATCATTTTATCAAAAACTGCTCCAGATTTTTCTTTAATTTGTTTTGAACGGATAGTCATTCACAGAAAACATGCTCAACATTAACACTATTTTGATTCATTATTTTGACTTTATCAAAATGACACAAATGTAATTTTTACATGTATTTGTACACAGGTATATGAACCATTTTTTAAATATTACTTTTATTTCAATTGCACCGTCATCGCGTTATTTTTGTTAAAAATTGTCACTTTATGCAACTTTCAAAATGTTTCTCAACCCTTCCTGCTCTCCATGCAACATGGCGGCCTGCGACTGGTCTGGCTTTTCATACGAAGTGCCCGTGTTGTGGTGACGTGGATAATGGCACGAACTGGTGTTGCGCCGAAAGAATAAAAACAGATGCTCTGGAGTAGTTCATCCATATCTTTCCACCATGCTACCGATCACCTGAAAAGGTTCCCTGAAATCCCCCAAAACGCGTTTCGTTGCTTAATCAATCCAAGAAATAGACTCTTTAGATTCTTCGATTCTTTTAGATTGTTCCTAAACGAAAAGCGATAAGCTCACTACCAGTGGACCAAGTCGCAAATAACACCTCATTTTCTTCGAATGGAAGACCAAATGTGGCCTAACTGTGAGTAATAGAATGTCTAACAGTGACGCAGGTTACTCAATTATTGTACTACTTTTATATTTCAGAATTTTATTTAAGAGCGAAAATTGGATTTCTTTACATCAGTAGTTTATAGATTTTAGTTCAAGTTCTTTTATTCTCTTTTTAATTAAGTTCATTGACGTTAACCTTTGAACTAAATATACACCGTAATAATACTACTTCATTATGTTATTCACACAACATGAAATGATGGATGCTGTTTTACACGATATCGCGTGTGATATATGTTTCGATTTGCCATTACTACAGACATGATTTCCATGCACTCTCAAATGCTAATGTATTGTTACGAATCGAATTAGCTGTTTTATTACGTCCATATTTGACGTCAAGATAATGTGTAGACATGTCCTACTGGAATAAAAAATCACAGGTGGCAATATTTTGATGATATGGAGACTTCCGGCTTGAATAGAACAGAAATCAACAACCAGAAAGAAAATATACGTTCTGGAGTGAGGACTCACGGAAAAGTGTAATAGAACACTTCGGTCAGAATGGGGTAACTGAGTGGAGAATTTGTATATAAGAAATGCAATGTCATATTTTGATTGAGGACAGTATTACAAAAAAGGGACTAGAATTTGTGAGAGAGTCGGTATAGTGAAGACTACATAAGAAATTGAACATAAAGGAAGGATTTTCGTTATTTGAAAGGTGAAGAAGATAAACATAGGAATCGTTATTTAAAATTGTGAAATTAACTCAATGTTTTGTTGTTATATTCAGTTTAAAAACAATATTTTGCAAAGTTTTTTCGTTATTTTTACGAATAAATGTTATCTAATTTTCAATATGAAAACGTTTTGATGTAATATTTCAGTAAGTAACCATATTCAAATCTATGCTGAATGCCATAGAATCATCGGCCCTAACAAATGGCAAATGCATACTCAGTATGCATGCAAATATGCACTATCAAATTGCCAGACTTGTATGAAGCAGAGAAAAAATTGTCAAAACATGCACAATCGAATTTTAGTTTAGTATATTCTTTGTTTTATTTCTTATGCTCTGATGATATGTCACAAAAGAAGCTACAGTGTTCTACGAGACGACCGAGACTCAAGGAAGGAACCATCTCGACGAAATTGCCATTGTGTTCTACGTGTGAATACAAAACAGACGGCAGAAGGCTCAAGAAAATTTGGGAAGGGCATTATCAGTGAGCTCGAAAACTAAATCAAACTAGGGTGGAAAGAGAGCTCTAATATAGTTTGATGTTTTACCTGTGCCAGTATTTTCTTTATGAGTTGCTATTCGGAAAAATTTCAAGTAAGCATGTTTAGACGTGATATTACATTGGAAAAGCTGAAAAATAATGCTTTCCCTAAAGTGATTAGTAATTTCAACAAACTAATTTACATCTTGAACAAAT